TTCAAATTTTCATTTTTAAACTATCTAACAATAATCCATGCAATTTATTATTGTTTTAAAGAAAAAGCTCCTTGAAAATTTTCGTTACAGACTTAATCTTCAACAATTAGCCATATATACGAAATGTAATATATCAAAAAATAAAGCTCATTCACTTTTCTTTTTCAACAAAAAATTAATATATGATATTTTTCAATCGCAACACGTTTTTTCACCGGAATAGAACAATTTGTATAAATTTGAAGCACAGGGTAAAACCGGTTTTTTTTTTCTTAGAACAAAAATTGTAGGATTAATTTTAAATTATTAGATAAAATTATAAAACGAAAATTAAAAGGAAGAAATTTCGAAGTAAAAAATTAACCATTATTACAAAAAAGAAAGAGAAGAGAAAATTTTTCAATTTCAAAATTAGATGATAATTATGAAAAAAATGAGAGAGAAAAAGGAAGAATTGAAATTTAAGTATAAATTACAAAAATATTTCAACTCATCAAATAAACAAAAGAAATGATTGATTGAAAGGTTGAAGTGATCAAAGATCAAGGTTATATCGTTTTAATTTTTGTTATACGACGAAACCAATTATAATAATATATGTATGATAAGTGAAATTGGTTAAAAGAAAAGAGAAGAAAAGTGAAGAAACGAAAGACAATTTTCTTCGATCAATGAATCCCAAAACGATGAAATAATTAATTGACAAATATTTTACAATTTGTCAAAAAAGGAAAGTTAAAATTATTTGTTGAAATTTGGTATTTTTTAATTTTACTTATTTCGAAATTTTTTCCTTTAGGAAAAAACGACGAAATAAACAATGACTAAAACAAATTATTTTAATTTTTCAACGTTTTGTTTCAATTTTTACCACAAAATATGATCACTGATAAATTTACTCAAAAATTGCATTTGTCATTTTATTTTCGTTCTACAAAAAAAGAAAATGAATTAAAATTATTTCAAGTTAATTTTATTGACAAGTAGGAATTCTAATTCATATGTTAACTTAAGGTAAATGAAAAGGTGTAAAATGAAGGTAAGTTATCGTCAATTTTACAATGCATTGCGGTTAAAGATTTCTTCTATTCTTATGATAGTGAAAAAAAGTATCAAACAATTGATGATATAGTCTGATAACAACGATGACATGAAATGGAGAAAGATAAATGTTAATCAACTTGATGTAACTGAACTGTTCGTTTCTATTCAACTTGCCAATCAGCAAGCAGCTTTTTGAATCTTTCAAATAATTCATCGTTTAAAAAAAATTGCCTCAGACATTTGTTAGAAGGCAAAAAAATCGTCGTTGAAATTTTTTGCTTTTTTTTTTCAGCAATTTCAAAATAGTTAAAATAAATTTAAATATTTCTTGTATTTATTGATTAATTATTAATTATTAAAATATAAATAGAGATGATATGTTATCATTTCTATAATAGAATTTAATTTTATTTATCACAATTGTGAAAACAAAAAAGAAAAAAGTGATAGAACTGAAGATGATAATTACCGTGAAATAAATGCAAGTAAATAATTATAGCTGAATAGAATGTTGGTAAGAATATAAGATTCATTACATGTCAAATACGATTTAAAAAAATATATTTTATAAAATATATGAATCATACAATCATCTTTTTACTTCTTAAAAAAAAATCACACTTACCTTTAAAACTAGTTCACTTAAGAAATTAATTTTAACTTAAGTGCAGTTTTTTTTTTCCAAAAATTACAAACTGTTCCTTATTATATTCAAATCTTAAATTTGTTCAAGTATATTTTATCCGTTGATGATACGATAATAGTATCATATCCGATCAATAATATTTCTTCACATTGCTGAATCTTCAATTCACATCTGATTCATAATAATTATGATTTATAACGTAATAATTATAAAAATTGAAAGTATATCCTAAACTAGATTATCAGCCTAGGAAAACTTTTTTTTTTTTAATTTTTAAAATTTATAGATTAGATTTGATCGTATTAGCAAAGAACTAACTATTCATCGCTTTAATATAAAGAAATAGGAAGACATTGTAATAGAAGGATGTGTTGTGGGAGATTTTTCCGTTTTCCGATATCTTCATATATTTATTTAAACAATAAAAAGGTAAAAAGAAAAAGAAAGTTCTAACTCAACGAATGAATAAATGAAATATGAATTACAAATTAATCAGATAATAATAATTTCGTATAATTAAATTTTCTAAGTTATTGTAATTTTATAAAATTAAGCGATTCTTTTCGGATATTACATTTGCAATTCGTGACGATATATGATGATATGATATCTGATACATATATATATATACCTGCATATTTTACCTTCTCTTTTTTCACATTTGCACTTCATTTTTTTCCTTGGAAACTTTTTCGAAAATTTTTAAATGAAGAATTTATGCTGTTGTCAAATGCAGCTGTTTTCGCTATTTGAATTATTTATTTGCTCGAATGAATTTCGAATTTTTGTCTTCTCCCATTGATTAATACATATGAAAGGACTAGTAAATGCTGGCAACATTCAATATTTCATGCATTGAATTATGCAATTAATTCAATCCTAAATGGAAAAGAAAAAGAAAAATTTATCAATTTCAGTTATTAAATTCCTTTCGGTAATTTATATATTCTTTTCGAGCTTAAGCTAATCAGTGAACAATGATAAGTTAATGGTTTGAATGATAATTCCGAGAATATGTTCACTCCATTTTCCTATTTATCCGGTTTTACATTTTCCTTAACTTACAATTTCCCGATAAAAAGTAAGTGTCCAGGAAAAAGTAAAAGTAAAAGTAAAGTGAAAATGAATAAGAAGTAAAAGGTTTGAAGAATATCTTGTTAAAAAGAAATGAAATTATTTCTAATTTATGCTCTAATAGCTTTGCTTTATAAATTATACGTTATGATTCAGTAACATGATTATTGATTCATGTAATTATGAAAACTTTTTGCAAATATCTTTTACATATTTAAATAATTTTGAAATTGATACTTATAGTGCATCTGAAATAGATCCTTAAATTAATCATTAATGGGGAAAAAAAATGTTGAGTATCCGAATATCTAATCAAAGTTTACATTCGCAATTAATTTCAAACAATTTTTTATAAAATTATAAATGATAATATATTGATCCATTCTTCATTTTTATCATCATCCTTTTTCTATTAATTTAATTTGCAGCCTTCAATTGAAATTTAAATTTCATTTCAAATTCATCACTTTTCATTTTCCTGTTATTGTTTCATCAATATTCCTCCTATGATATTCTTTTTAAAATCCTTTTTGATATTCTGAATGATATTCAAATCTTCCAACCATATTTTATCTCACTGCTTAATATATATATATATATATATATTAGTTCGAAATTTGTCTCAAACAAAAAAAATTGATCGTTGAATTCGAATGATTTGTTTCAAATAGTAAATAAATAAGCAATTAATTTATATTTTGTAATAGGAAATTCTGATTGTTGCTATGGAAAGATTTCGATAACAAATACTATTTTATACTTTCAAACTAAACACTCCATCAAGTTGAACGTTGAAAAGGAAACAAGTAAGAATGAAAACCTGATACATATCTTTTCTCTTTCTCTCTCTCTCTCTCTCTCTCTCTCTTTTCTTACATTTCGTTTTTTTTGTGATAACTTAGAAGAAAAATTTTTACAGGATTATCTTAAAATAAAACAAACATTGAAATGGATGGAATTTTAGGAAAAAAAAAAGAATGAGAAGGGAGAAAATGAAGAAAATGATGAAGGAAAATCAATAGAGAATGTCTGGTAAGATAAAATGGAAATGTTTTTCGACGATATTTCATCGAATGAAAATAAAGCACACAAAGTATTTAACCGTCTGTCTACAATCTATTTCATTCCAATCCATTCCAATCCAATCTAATCTATCCATTCCATCCTATCTCATCCATTTTTTGAAATAATTGAAAAATGAAAAATTTTTTTTACAAAATATAATTTCATACCAATTTCTTCTTTTTCTTACCCTGAAAGATTAATTTATTCATATTCTCTTCTCTCATTTCTCTTTTTCTTTTTCAAAAAAATTTCATCCATTTTTATGTTTGTTTTTATTCTAAAATAATTATTGAATTCTTCTATCATTTCGTTTCCACTTCAACTTAATGCTTCACTGTAAGCAAATGGATTAATATGTATAAGATGTGAAGAGAAAAAGAACACATTGATTGATTGATTGATTGATTGATCTTGTGATCATGTATAATCTAATATAAGTAAAGAGAAAATTCAGCAAAATTTCAAAACGTATGAATATTATTTGGGAAATTTCAGGACAATGTAATCTATTCAGGATAGTTTCATGACAACATAGTTGGAATGATTTCAGGATAAGGTAAATTAAAGCAGTGTGAAATTAAACGTTCAAATGTTCATATACCGGAAAATGCCAAGAATTCCCAATCATTCTATGTAAATATTTCAATAATTAGCAGTATACATGTAAGCATAGAAAGTTGAAATTTTTGCGGAATCACTGGAAGAAATTTGCGAAGCTAATATAAAATTTTTCCAAACCTTTTTTTTTTGTCTTTTGAACCTGATTACAGCCTTTCATTTCCCAATTTCCAATTTCTGCATCAACTTAAAGTACTTCTAAAAGTGACGTAAAGTAAATTTTCAATAAAATATGAAAGGAAACCCTACCTGGATGTATTCTCAAGTAATAAATGAATATTCTACGTAACCAGTTAACAAACAAGAATAAAATTTTAATTTCCGAATGTTTACAAAGAATGTCCAGGTATCTCATGTTACAGAATATACAATGAAACGATGTTATATGTGCAGTTCGAGGAAAAAAATTATAACTAAATTATTAGTCGCAAAAAAAGGAAAAACTGAACCATGTAAATTTTAGAGTACTGAATAGTTTCGAATTGCCGAATTCTTGAAACGAACGATTGATTGCTGTTGAGACAGACAGAACGCAGAAATTGTTTTCTTCCTTATGTCTTCTGGCTGTTTGAGCTTAGGTATTGAATGGGAGAGAGTTCGAGATGAACGAGCTATTCCGTTCGGTCTTATCGCTATTGATGAGAAAAGCAGTCGTAATGGTAGATTGGTAGATTCGGAAATGACAATTCATAGAATCCGCTGGGGAGAATCTTGCAATAAGTTTGATTATCCGCGGAATCGTTATGTGTTTGTCTCACAAACTGCATAGCTTTTTTTTCGTCTCAAATAGTGCACTTGTCCAGAAATGCATTACTCTCGGAAATCGTGAAGTAGGGTGTTTTCCCATTATTTTAGGAGAATGATTTCAGGATCAAATGTTGGGCCTTAAAAGGCGATCACGAAAATATCAGAATGAAAATACACATTTGAGACGTTTAACGCAAGCTTATCTCACGCCAATCAGTCAATTTCAACCATTGGTCGTTCATACTGCACACGAGAAAGTGGATAGTGTTTACTACTTAGGTTGGTGCACCATAAAGAAAAATTAGACTTAGATACGTTTTCTTTTTTCTCATAACGTAGTTTAAAGAGATAACGAGCTTTAAAAACTCAAAAAATTAACCTTAAAAATGTAACCTTAAAAAATTTCTTTCTGATATTTTATATCTTTCGAAGTAAATTTTGAAATAATCAAGACAAATTTAAACATTATTTGTTAAGCAGACTTTGGAATTTTATTTTCCGTGAATTCCGACAATATCTTTCCATTGCAGTACAAAAACTTGTATTGAAACATCAAAGTGTAACAAGCGGATTATTTCCACGATATTCCAAAAGTCATGAAATTGGCTTTGTCAAGGATAGTATCTATTGTGCTTTGGCATGTTGGACTTGTTCGATTGCTTGCAAGTAATTTTATTTCTTTCTTCACTAATAATCGCTTAGTAGGATTGGATTAAATTCCCAACATAGTAAATAAGAATGTTCAATATCTCATCCTAAAGTTATTGTTTCTAATAGTCTTACAGACGACTGGACGATGATCGAGGACGACAAACAGAATTGAAGCAATCTGCAGTGAAAACGATGCGAGGAATTATGTTTTGCTGGATGCAACAGCTTAATAACGTATGTCATACGATTGAAATTATGACAAAAGTTTCGAAACTTTCGAACTAAATTTGGAAGGTGTAATACTGGTTAATGAAGAATGTCTTAGTTGAGGTGTTTCAAAGATTCATTTCCTCTTTCATTTATCGTGGTTAGTACATTCATGGGCAATATCAGTGCTTTTATATTAATTGCAGTGAGTGAAGCATTTGTGAGGAAATGTTTCAGTAGAATGGAAATTAATTGGGTTAGTAAAAAGTGAAATTATAGAGAATGCCGTGTTTTAAAATTTATTTAAATTCGTTCGAAAATTTTCAAGAGGTTTTAACTCATTTTGCAGTTCATTGAATATTCCAATTTCTTGTTGTCTTTTAGCTCAATCGTTTCAAAGAAAACATTTCACCAGAATTCGCTTTACACGCATGCTTTGATTTGCACACAGGCATGGTTCTTGAAACACCGAGTGAAAAAGTACGCTCGAAAATATTAAGACATTTTGTTCGCGATATAGAGATTTGAAAGCAAAACTCTCTCTATTCATATTGCTGTTTCCGATCTGCAGTGGTGGGAATCGTGTTATCAAAATGAAATTTATAGTTTATGTGGAAGCATAAAATGGGATCAGTTTTTTTTCGTTTTTCTCTTTTGATTTCTTTTCCCATGTTTTTTTCGTCTTTATTTACACATATATGGTGAACTCCTCAAATTATAGAAATATGGACACTTACAAATGGATCTTGTTGCATTGTATCTCTTGGCTTTGGTTCAAATGACTGCAGCTGGTATTCAGGTATTTTTTTTGAGATTCACCATTTTTGAGTATCATTTTCACTGACTAAATCAAGGAGAGATCAAGTTGAAGTCTTTAAGATGGAATAGCATTATTTATGCTCATTTAACTACTTTGTTCGTGCTGTTTTTTTGTCTTTGCTGTCGTTCAGCATACACTTTCCGAAACAGAAAATATTTTTTCACATGTATTATTTGCTAAATTATAACGTTACGGCAGAGACAGTATCACTCAGCTGTCAGTGATTGCAAATGAACGTTGTAAGAGTCAAATGTTTACTTACGTGGCTCCTTTCGAAATACATATTAGGTCTCTTAATTGAATTTTTAAATTTTTGCAACAATTTACATTTTTAAGTAAGTAATTTAATATTTTACATTTGCTTTAAGTATTTCTGGTAATTTAAGTCATGTTTCGGTGCTCTGTTACGATTCTGAGCTAAAGACTTTTAACAGGTAATTTACACGCATGATGAAGTTTGTTTTGTCCAGAATCTTGTTTTCTATATCGAACGAACTTATCGTACACCAGATTTTGGTATGTGGGAAATGGGTTCGAGGTACAATGTTGGTGAACGCGAACTTCATGCTAGCAGTCTTGGAATGGTAAAGGTATGTTTTGGCTGGCGTTTTATTTTCGTTTTACTGTATACCTAGAAAGAAGATTCTGGAAAAAACGAAAGTAAATAAGATAGAAAAGATTCTTGTCAGGAATTATTAATAGATTAAATAATAAGTACCTAACATGTTCATGAAATTTAGGGTTGTAAATGTTAGGAAACTGGAAGTACGGAAGTAGCATAGGATTCGATGAAGCCTTATGTATCTTTGTAAGTACCGTGCGCATAGTGAACAGTAAAACAAAAATTTTTGATGCGTAAAACACTTGATGTAGTTTTGATCTCTGTGATATTCTTTACAGGCTGCATTGGAATCAATAAATGGTTTTAATCTTTATGGGATGGCTGGAACCAGTTCATCTGTAATATATGTTGATATTGATGGGCATAACAGAAATCTTACTACTTTTGAAACGATTTTGCCAAGGGAAAGCAATTCGAAGGTAAGTAGTAAGTCGATTTAGAGTTACGGTACTTGTACTGCTTTTAATTTAAGATAATTTGGAATTATTGCAGAATACTGACGCTGCATTGCTGCTATCGATAGGATGGCCAGCTTTTGCAACGCATAATCCGGAACTCTATGAAAAAACATTCAACAAATGTATTCGACGTCTAGAAGGGCGATATGGGTTGAAGAGGTAGCTTAGCATCAAGGCTTATGTACCTTATCGTGGTATCCTGTTTCGTTCGTTATTAGATCCTGCTTTCTTTTTTATTTTTCTTCAGATTTCTGCGGGATGGCTATCATACTGAACTTGAAGATGCTTCGAGACAGTATTACAAGGAGCATGAAACATCACGTTTTCAGGATATCGAATGTCAATTTCCAGTTTTCTTCGCCTACATTGCTATTACTGGTATTTTTTTTGCGCGGATATTTGCTGTAAGGTTTGTAAAACTTGTGCTTTAATAATGGCCTTATCTCGATTTTTATTCTTACGTTTTCAGCTCATCTTCGTGGAGATCAAAAATTATCTCGTTCTTATTGGCAAAAAACGAATGACATGCTTGTTTCGAGCGAAAAAAGTTGGTCTTACGATTAATATTTAGTATTGTCTGTATGTTTTAATGCTTCACACTAAAACAGATTGCTGCTTGTAATGAAGCATGATATATTCGTTTCCTAAGGAAAATGGTGCAATCTAATCTGAAGATATGTTTCGATGCATGATATATATAGTGTTTATTTTTCAGCATCATACTTGATATTGCCAGAATGCTATATCATTGATAAAGAGGATATGGATGCTGAAAGAATGAAACCGAATTCCCAGGATTTTTATCCAGCGAGCTCAAGCGAGTTTGGTCACCATCTTTGGTCTAATGCTGTTTATCTAATAGCATTACTTCTAAGTAAGGCTGTTTTTCCATTTTTTGTCCGAACTTTTGCCAGTTATTGTCTTTTGGTCTCATACCAACTATAGTTTTGTGAAGTTTTCAATCCCAACATAATGGAATGCGAAAGTGCTTTAGAAATTGGCGAGAATTTGCAGTAAATTGTTGGAGTCAATGCATTAGTGGTACCATCAGTAAATTATCCACTTGGGTTGCTTGTCAAATGTTAAGTGTGTATAATGAAGGTGAAACACTGTAGTTGGAATCAAGTAAGAGTATGGCACGATAGGTGTTGGCATGAAGTTAGACCTTTCTAGTTCATGGCACTAAAAGTTCAGGCTTTCTCTTTAATTTGTGCAAACTGTGAACGGATTCTAATGGGGCAACAGTATTCTCGAAATGCAGGAATCCTTGTGAGCCCGGTTTAATAATTTGTATACGGGAACGAGAAAAAATCATACTTCAAAGTAACCATTAACATATTTATGTGAATTTTCCAGAGGATGAGTTCATTTATTTAACGGACATCGATCCGATCTGTCGACATCTTCCAGCCAGCCAACGTCCAAAGTACCAGAATCGTCATTCCGTATTTCGGGTTAACATTATAAAGATTTTTTGCAATATAATGATAATAATAAGTCTGAGAAGAAAGAAGCTGGTATTTCTTTGTTTGAAACGTTCAATATTCTGTTTAGCGTGATGTAGAGCAAGCAAAAGGAAGCGTAAGTTTGTTTTCAGTAGTAGATGCCTGCGTTTCTTTTTATTATATTGAATTTGATTTTGCAAAGAAAACGATAGCAGGACTTTTCAACAGTAAAGAAAGGAAACAAGTTTTTTTTTGCTTCATATTAAATTTCTTAACATGAAACGGGTGGAGTTTTAAATTAACTTTCGATTTCGAAATTTCTGGTAATATATTTTGGAGGCATTTTGTTCTGCTTCTTTTGTGTTATAATTGAGTGTTGTGCTCATTCGCTTTTACCACCAGTTAGGGGTCAAAATTCTTGCCCACACCTGGTACAATTTCACATTTGCTACCGTACAAAACTGTAGAAGCTTTAAGAGACGAAATATGTTTCGTCTTCTACTTCAATCAGACAATTTTTTCCTAGATATTAGCAGGTGTGTGACATTATTCGTGGAAAGGAACATATACAAGCCATTTATCTGAACATAATACACGTCAAATTCTTTTTTTCGCTATTGACATAAAGGTTTTTTTTTCTCGAAAATATAGGTTGCGAAAAAGCATCTTGTTAAATGCATGTTATATTTAGTTTTCAATAAAGATATTGCATGCCTTCCGGATTCGAAATCCATATTTATAATCGATTAGTCGGAGTAAGTCGTGTTGAAAATGATGTGGTATTTTGTTAACTTTTTCCATCCTTGAATTTTCCTGCGGTTTTTTATCGATTCGGATTTCGGTTTTTCAGTTGTAAATAATGTTACAACGTGCTTGTTTTCTTGCTAATAACTGTTCAGTTTGTACTCGCGCTGTTGACAATTTTAATTTTTTAAAATACTGCCTTAGAAAAGTTTTTTTTTTGCTTTATTTCATCGCTTATTAATATTAACTGGACAAACTCTCGTATAATCTCTTTCAGAATTGTTTGGAAGGCGATCCGGTAGTTCAAGTTGTTCTGATTGCCGAGTCAAGTCGTTTGCAAATGATGCTTTCAACATATGGCATTGATACCCAAACTTCTTATGATCTTGAGCCGGTGCGAATTTGGCCAAGTTGGAGGATGGTGAAGGTATCTTTGTTATCAAAAACACTTCATTGCATCATATATAAGCATTTGACCTAATAGATTTAGGAAAAGTAATGATTGCTCCAACTCCGTCTTCGCAATTTGCATTAAGTTTTTATTCACTATATTTTAAAATATTCATTCCGTTTTTCAAAATATATTTACGAATATTCGCTTCTTTTTTGGAATATATTTTAGTGTGTTCATTTCTTTTTTCTGCATGACTGTTATTTAGGGCTGACATTGGAACTGGACCATTATTAGGGAAAAAGAATAAAAACATCTTGTTATCAATGTATGCTTATTTTCTTGCTTTTCCAGGTATTCGAATCCTTAGGAAAAAATGAAAAAATGGGCTTGAGCGGTCGACCAGGACGGCCATTTGGTCCTCTTAACACGAGCAAAATTTTCAAACGTTTTGGTGATACTATTCTTTGTTATCCATTATTATTCGAAGTGAAAGACTTCTACATCAACGCAGATCCGGCTGTATTAATCAACGAAATTAAGGTATTATTATATTTTAGCTTTTTAATAGATATGTGGTAATGAAAAATTGGTCAGGAAATGTTAGTACGGATGACATTTCTGCTGTTAGGATGAACTGCAGTCATTTGATGCTGAATGTTTTGTTTTGTACTGGATTCTTGAAGCCAAGGATGACGCCATGTTGAATTCATTGCTAGTCAAGCATTTGATGGTTCATATTTATATTGTCTTGCTTTCGCTGATCATGTATAATAGTGTCGTCCTCGCTCCCTTGAGAATTCTGGAGACTAATTCTGTCTTGCATGCACTTTACTCTGTCTTTCTGTACCGTAATGAGTTGTCTAAGTCGTATTTTGTAAGAGCTTTATATGAATTTAAGATTTGAGAAGATTCTTTGAACTTATGAAGACCACTCAATTCTCTTTAGTTTACATATACAATTGCAGTTAAATTTGGAATTTATATCGAAAGGATGGAAGCTTACTGGACGTCCCACATTTTGTATGGTTTTACGAGAGGAAATTATGAGTGGTGAATATTTCAATCACATGTTAGATTTACTGATCTCGTTGAAGAACGGTTGTGTTAGTGGAGTACGAGTACGAGTTGGTAGACTTCATGTAAGTTTTCCAAAGAATATATTCAATTTTCGTTCGAATTTCTGTTCAACATAGGTCCTACATAATTTTACTGTGCATTCGGAGCCTTGTCCACCCTTGTCCTAGTTAAAGAAATGAACTTTGAGACCAGCAAATTCAAATGGCAAAATGCTGAAGACTTTTCCATTTTTTAAATAATGTATATCATGAAAAATGACTTGGAGTAAATACAGAGCTCAAGTGCATTGTGTAGTTTTGGTCGAACACTGGAAAAGAGAGAATACTGTACGGACAGCAATTATTAGGGTTTTTAGCATACGAGAGTTCAGAAGTTTTTTTATGGCTAAGTTGATCAGCAAATCGTAAAACAATTGGCGAAAAAAATTATGCAATTCCAGCAGCTTTTGAATTCTGGATGTGTGGAACATGTCGATTTTGCTACTGGTGATGATGGTAATTATGACGATTTTGAAGAGTTGGGCGATACAGATTCGCAACTGATTTCTCTAGTTTCAGTACGAGATATTAATGAAGATGACACCCAAAGTGCTGAGGTAAGTATTTTTAATTGTCATAAAGCTTGGCGAAGCTAATTTAAAAGCGATTAATGTTATTTCGATCAAAAATTTCTAGGCAAATGAAATTAATATAATGTTTTTCACTGAATGAATGAAACAACTGGAACTGTTAAATTTCCATTAAAGTTTCAAGTATCCCTTGAATATTTTTTATTCTTGCGTTGAAATTACATTCAAAACAGGAGTTGGTTTCACCGAATGCAACATTTTACTTTTTCGTCATATCCGCGTAAGGGTTGTGCTTCTTAGTTACATTTTTTATTCATTAACATTTGTTTAACTACTTTCGTTCCAGCATGATTACAAATCGAAATCGGATCACGAATTATGTGAGGTTGTTCGGAAATACAATATTAATGGAGCTCGGAAAATGGCATTTGCAATTGTGATACTCTCTCAACGCTATGGAATGGAATATGTCGTGGATGGAGGTAGGTTATTGGCAAGAATAGCAGGAAATGAGAGTTCGTGAATTCTTTTTGTCATTTCCTTTTAACCTGCGAAGTTGCTCAGCATTTTCTTATCTATTGTATACATCTTGTAGTTTAGGTTATCTATTTTTAATGTTCAATCTTCAGAAAGTTTGGAGAAGCGTTTGGAACGCATTTATCGCCAAGCATGTGCTAAACGTCGTTGGTGGCTAGTTCGTTACTGTGCTGCAAAGCTCCGAAAAGTGGCAAATTCATTGGCACCTGGCATAACGAGCATGCTTGTTAGAGGGAAACAGGTTCAAATTTCTTTTGCTAAATAGAAATATGATAAAGTAGTACTTTAACTTTAGTTTTATTTCGAGAAAAGATATGAATGCTGCCAAATATACCAAACGAGCAAAAGGATACTAAATATAAGCTATTTAAGGAAACAGTGGTTCCAATATATATATAAGCTATTTAAAAAAGCAGTTGACATCATTTGATCGATTTGCTGAATACTAGATGTTTTCTTTCTAGAAAAGCGCCTTAAAAAAACTTTCCAGATTACTGTTGGAGTTACTGGTTGTCAAGAAATGACCATAACATCACCAACAACTCCGGATCAAATAGCTGACGCGCTATTTGCTTCATATCCAGAAAATGAACCGCAAGCTATTGTCCTACAGCAGGAACTCATCATTGCATGCTCGGATTTAGTGCGTTCCATTTCTTTTCTTAAAATAATTGGTGACATTTTGGTAAAATCAAGACACGTGGACACCTCTCTTGCAGAAACAGTTTATTTTTGAAATTCGGAATTTACTTTGAAAAATTTCTTTCGATTTCCATATGTTTAGATAGCACAGAAGCCGTATGCATTTGATGGCGTTCTGACAATTCGATTAGCATGGCTAGCGGATGCGATGTCATTAATGCTCAATTATGTGCGAAGTGCAGGAAATGCTAGAAAAGATCCCGTTATCAAAATGCTTGACACATCATTTTCATCGAAACAAGCAAATATTTATTCGAGTAATTTTTCAAAATATTATAATCAGAGAAATATGCTGTTATGAGACTAGGTTTGATCATTTTTCCATTTAAACTTTTTCAAATTATTTTTACATATTTTTCTACATATCTATTTTTTCTCTAGTTTAACTGATTTCGTACATTAATGGTAAGCTACTTCTTTAACCTGTTTTGTCGTCCATTTTGTTGGCTGCTTATTTACATAGTACATTAGTGAAGTTTTAGAGATAACGGATGGATGCTGCTTTGTTCTAAGAGGGGTAAGATTTGGGAATGATTGTTGTAAAGTTTTTGATTTGAGTAATTTGCAAAAACGAGTGTAGTTGGGAGAAACTTTGTTGAGAGAAGGGTTTCACTTCACTGAGAAGTTCTTGGGTCTTTGATTTTGGTATTTCGGTTCCTTTTATGAAACTTTCAGGCATATTTCACCTCAGGTACCAAAATTTGTTTGTCATGAAAAAGGGATTTGATTTGAGTAGTTTGCAAAGGCAAATATGGTTAGGATCAAACTTTATTTTATTGAAAGAAAGGTTACAGTTGATCAACGTTATTCGATAATATCAGAAATATTGAGGAAATAGTTGTGGAGGAGTGAATGCGAACAAACTTAAGACCTTCAGATTGTAAGACTGAATACGTTATTAAAACGTTATATATTTTTTTCAAATTGGGCGGCACTAGGCGCTTGGCGAGTACTGTCTATAGTAAATTAGGTACTCATTCATTTGTAAACAAAAAAAAGGCAAGGGTCATTCGTTAGATGGAACCAATGGTGCATACAAAAAATCATCTGGTCATTTTAACATGCCATTGACGGTATTCTTTGGATAGCAGGCTAGATATTATTCTTTGGATAGCAGGCGAGATATAACTTATGACAAAAACTGTAGCAAACATTGACTAAGAATTTGCGATAAGCAATTTCTTTAAGATAAATACAGGGATACTTTAATTATGTAAATAATTTCATATTATGAGGCTATTTCGGGTTTTCGAGAAATTTCGGGTTGCTATAATCGATGCAAATACCACTTTAAAAAAGCAAAAAAAAATTGGGATTCTTTTTTTGCACTGAAATTGTGATAAAATCAGTATTTATTATTCCGTAAGAATTTTTTTTTTCGTGTCCTATTGCTGGTGGTCTAATGCCTGATGTCTTGAACTATAAATGATTATTAAAATTACCCGTGTTTCAGGTACGCGAGATTACGAAAATAACAGTTAGGCTTACCATAGCTAGACTGCTTGCTTTTTTATGTCATTGGGATTTTTACGTTTAGCTAATGTTTATAAACTACGTTACTTTTCTGAATTTTTTTTTAGAGCTTGGTGAAAACACAAGTGTTTACGATCTCTCGCCAATCGTTGTTAAGGATGTTGTCGCCGCATTGTTAACCAAAAAATATTGGCACTTGCTGTATGTGACTGTTGAATTGTTGTGGACATCTTAATATTTTTCGTATTACTTTTGAGGAATTATTCTGATGCTATGACATTTGAAATTATAGTGACACATTTCACAAAATTACTTTGAATCAGGGATGTATTGAAATTTACAGTATACGAAAAGATACGACTGAACTCTGCACAAGTCTCACTTTCATTTCTCTTTAAATATTACATTATTCACATATCTTTTTAGAACTCCTTTGCAATCACGACGTTTGAATGGTTCACTGAACCGTGTACCACCTAACTTTTACGATAGAGTTTGGAAAATTTTAGAACGTACGCAAGGTGGCATCGTCATTACTGGACAACATCTTCCTCAGGTTACTTCATAATTTTTTTTGGCTTCGATTCTTGAAACCGCTTGAAAGTTACAATTCTACAGTTTTGCCAAGTTGTTTTGTCTATTGACAGTTTATCTCAAAAACTTCTGCACAACAGTACCTGTGTAAATACTTCAACTATATTTCGTGTTTTACCCATTTTTTTTTTCCCAGCAACCAACATTGAGTGACATGACACCATTCGAATTGACTTTCTCGTATAGAATTGAATCTATGATGAGTACTATCGAACATCCAGAATATCGTCAGATTCTTGTGGAAGTATGGAATTTTTTCTTGTTTAATGGGATTTTATAGATCTGGTCTTCAAAGATCATAGGATTCCAGATTTTCGAAACTTTTACTTAATTAAACGATAAATTAGCAAGATTTTCTTCATAGTTATTACTGAAAATTCTGACGAACGGCTTGTATAAGTCCTGACGAAATTTCTTTCAGCTATTATGTATCATTGCCGTTATTTTGGAACGAAATAGAGAGCTGGTGTTCAGTGAGAAGCTAGATTTGGATCAGGTTTTGTTTTTCGTTTTCGATTGAGTGATAATTTAACAAGACAAATCACTGTACACCATTCAGTGTATAGTTAAAGGTCTTATGATTTGATGCCCCACATAAAAAGCGTTAATATCTTGCTTAGAAGAAGTCTTCATGTCTTACGAAAAAAGTTTTCATGTGTGCAGAAGTGTTATTTGTTTTTGAAATTTCAGCTCATTTCTACAGCTTTTCTGCGATATTGTTCAGATTATGAAATTGAAGATAGGAATGATATGACGCCCTTCTATGAATTAAACGATTCAGATTTAACAAGAAATTCAACAGCTAATTATTTTGTTCGAGTAAGTTGTTTATTTTACCTTTGGATTATAGGGCACTTTTATGGATGGTGGATTTTATAGCTTTCTGAGATATGATATTCTCTTTGTTGCTTCAAAAGAACGTTTTGATAATTTAAGTAACAATTAAAATATTCTGAATATACTCCTCGAATTACTGTGCTAAAAGACAGGAAACAGTAGTCTTTGTATGTCTACGTATTCATAAATCACTGGCCATTTTTCAGGCTGTAATTAATTTCTTGTTGAATGGAATATGTGTCAACCAATGGGAAATACCTGCCTCTGTCTCTAATTCCGAACGATCTGACAACCAAGGATATAGTAGTTGCTTAGTGAGCTAACGAGGAATCAGTGTATCAATATCGGATATATCGAAGATAGCGGATACACTGTAGTGGTGCGCTGAATTAGCAGCAGTCTGCACATTGAAATAGAAAATACACGAGATTCGATAGTGATCAAATAATGAAGTGCCTTTAAAATAAAGTAGTTTTAGTGCCTGCCTACATGTGCCTGTACATTATTTCTAATTGTATCTAGCCCACATATGTCTTTTTCTTTTCAGGAATATTTTGTTACTCTCTCAGGAACGGGGGCGAACCATTTTTTAATTAGAAAGAAATGGAATATAAGAAAAAAAAGTTAAGTACGATTTAACCTCTCTCAAACCTGTTTTTCATTTCATCCTAATTTTGGGACTGATCAATGAATCACAGATAACGGAACAGTTACAAAAAATTTGGAAATAGCGGCTTTCATAATCAGCTACTTACAAAAATTGTATGCCTTTATTCTGCGTGTATACTTTTCTACGGTTGGAAACGTGCAATGTATGTACGGCAATTTAGATTATTAAACTCTTCCTAATATTTTTATCTTGCTACATTCGAAGTGATTTGATTGGAACGTGGACCGGGTCTTCCAATTGTTACTGTTATGTATGACTCTCTGTTTTACCTTAGAAAAAGCGTTTCCTCATGCACCCAAGACAAAATAAGGGAAATTTTTCGTCAGGATCTAAGCAAATGCATGTTTCAACGCTCCAGACAAATACGGAAATAAGTTAGTATGCAAGGTTGGACGGCCACACCCATTGCCACTGTTGCGGATGTTAAAAGTCAACTACTATGTGAAGATGTCGGTGATGTATGGAAGCTTTTTATAGAGCGAACAACCAGAGACTCTAGCAAAACTTTTATTTATAGAAGCGCATGTATATTACACAATAAAATGTGTTAACGAAGTAGGGACAACCGCACCGAATGATACGAAGAATCTAAGAATCTGGAGAGTATGTGAAAGCTGATCCGAACTCATTCCAGTCATTGAAATTCGTGAATAATTCGTATAGACAGATATCATGGATAAAAGGAAAAGAAGTGGGTCTGTACAAAGAGAAGTCTAGAAATACTAAATCCACATTATTATTCAGGAGTTACATCTGTGAATTTTTCCACATATATGAAATTTAGTTGTTCGTTTTATGTAAATATTTAAAAATTAATGAAAGTCGAGTGGATGAAGTGTAAGAGTAAAAGATTCCTTTCAGTCGAATGAAATAAGGAGCTCTTCAGCTGGCTGCGCTATTGGCTGTGATTGCGGTTCTCCATTCGCTTGAGACTGAGTTGGATAATGCATGTTTTGGGCGGAGTGCTCCGATATCATTCCATCTGAATAAAATTTGTGAAAGAATAAGCAATTTTGAAAACAAGAGAAATAAAACGTGGATCTTAAAGTTTTGTATCCTTATTGGTAATCATCTACTTTCTCTCCCCTTAATTTACTGTGAGGTGAAATGAGAGTTAGTTTTCACTAACTTGGCAGGGAATACGGTGGAAAAGGTTGCATCATCTGATTAATGTGTTGGCTTGGAGCTGTCGATATTGTCGTTGATGGTACAAAACTAGGCTTCTGCTGTTCCTGAGGACCGAGTCTTTGGTGACCAACATTAGCTGAAACAGCCTGAAGTTGCTGCTGCTGTTGTCCATCTGCAAGTGTAACAACAGACTGTTCCACTGGTTGCTGAAACTTTCTTCAGGTTCTCTTCAGCGAATGTTCAATAAATCTCGTCAAATCACAACAAAAATCAGGTGCACGTTTTCAGTTCTACTTTTCATACTGACTGGTTGAAGATCACATAAAATATCAATATTTAATTATATATTGTGTAAAAAGAAGCTCACAAGAAGTTTTTACAAAAAGGAAACCATAACTTCATAAGAAGAAATCAACTACCTGATACCCGGGATAAGCTCGTGATATGGAAGACTGTAAGGAAGCAACACTGTAAGCTGGGGTATTACTGGCTGCAAGAAGTTGTACTGAATTCTGACAGACGCTCAACTGATAATTCGATGTTGGCACATCTGATTTGAAAAACTGTTGCTGCTCTTGTAGCCGCTGTACGTCTATCGAAACCTATTAATTCAAACAACACAGATAAAAAACTACCAAACCCATAAACAAGAACAGATAGACTGCTATAATTTTTTTGTTTTGTTCTTACTTTCCAACATAAATTTTCGAAAATGCAGTTTCCTTTCCGAAAAAGCTCAAATTATGCGCAAAAAGTTATGGATTAAATCACCTGATCAGCATACGGTTGAATTGGTGCATAATTTGCAATGTTCGAACCCTGCTTAACTGTCGCAGCTACCGCATTATCCTGCGCCATATGCGCACCAGATGGATAATTCTGTGCCGCCATTGGAATACCGTAACTTAATTGGGCCTGACCAACATATGTATCTGGCGAATAACCTATGATATTATAACAGTTCTTGAAATAAGAGCCAATTTTAGCACGCAGAACACTTTAACTTATAGGGAGTAATGAAATTTTATACAATTGCTCTTAAATATTGAGAGGTACCTCTTCTGTGGTGACAATTATAGATCTATTGAGATTCTGCTAGAATACTATTTGTATTACCACAAGAAAAAATCCCTTTCAGAAACTCATAAGCAGAAAGTAGATAGAACTAACTTCAAAATGCAAAATTATATGGCATTCCAAATGCAAATAGCTTAAAAAAATGTAGAGTGCTTTTATCCCTATGCTGTTCTTTCTTTACCACAATGTAAATATTAACAAACCACAGGGAACGCCATTTCCTTGTATGGTACCTTGATTAGGTTCTACAATCATCTGACTATAATGCATTTCCGTGGTTTGATTAGCAGGATTCATTTGAATACTTTGTCCCATCATTTGCATTCGTTTCATTTGCATTTCCTGTTCCTGTTGCTGGAAGCGTAAAAGTGCCATTTGGCGTTGATGCAATATCATCTCCTGTAATCAAAATCATTGCAATGAAACTGCATATCAGAAACAAGTAACAGCTCGAAATAGACAAATCAAATAAAATGCGAAAAAAGTAAAATCAGCAAAAATACATGCCATTTATTCGAAAAATTATAACTTTCGAGGGAAATTCAAAACACTGAATACAAATTTATCGACGCTGATACTATCTGAGAAAAAAACTAACATGCTTTTTCTGCCTCATCAAATCCACCTTCTGCTGCATCTGTATCTGTTTCAGACGTTGTTCCTCCATAATTCTTGCCTGCTTTTGGCGTTCATGATCCTCCCTGAGAGCATCTATGGCTTGTCTAGCTTCCTGGATGTGAGATAAACTATCTTGAAGAGATTCAAAATGATCTGAAAACGAATAACATTGTGCTTAATAGTGATTAATGAATTAATTTAAAGGTCGTAATGCAACTCCGTAACTGGCCCTCAATATTCCAAATGTTAAAATAGATTCATTCGAATTATTATTGTCAGCGAGAGCAATATCAGATTCGTTCAGCTAAACAAACTTCTTTGTTCCTCTAGCTTGTTCATGCGCGCCATTACTTGGGCGTGCATTTCGGTCAAGCGTATGAATAATGACTGTATTGCAGTGTCGTTGACAACAGAACGATTTCGAGCAACGTTGGACCGAATTCGATTATCCATAACAGTAACCTGTACACAGTAAAATATATATAGAGATGAACGGTAATAATAAATAAAACGCAAAAAAAAAAAGATATAAACAAGATTTACCTGACAAAACGTAACTGCTATTAACATCATACGATTTTGGTAACTTCCTGCCATCCATATCACTTGGCAGTGGTATTATTATAAGCAAATACCACTATGTATGCGCTTTCAGAAAGAAATATATGACGGTATAGAGGTCGACTGCAACCTCAATGTGTCAACTCCTTCCCTTACTAGAATCTTCTGCAGTTGTTGACAAGCAGAAATAATATACCTGTTCCACCAACTGCCGACAAAATTCCATTGTTTCTGCTGTTTCTTCCTCTTCAGTACTAATAAAATGAGATGCTGCGGCAGGATCACTTTCGAGCTGCTTTGTAGTTGAAACAAATGAAGGTGCGACAAGTGAAACACCACCATCGTGATCATGACTAGGAGCACAACGAGATGATTCGCTCGGTGGTGGTGCAGTTGGCGTTGGTATTTTTTGCTGATCGTCACCCGCCACCACTGCTGCTATCTAAAACAAAATCTAATTATTAGGTACACCTAACCCCTTTAATAAATATAAATATTTAAAAAAGTAAGAAGGTCAAGAAATGTAGTTATGTACAAAGTATATATAAAATATATATAATCAGCTTACGTATATGTTATTCCTAACCAAAATAAAGATTTAAAAAGCATATAACTACCGCGTTTCGTTGTTCATTTTTTCTCTGTTGCCAGTAATCTCGGTTTAAATATCTCGCCAGTTCTGGGTCTACATAAGCAACACCCGATGACACCGGTGTATCACTTTCTGAATATACATTTTAATTTACTATTCTCGGAATAGGACTTCGTCCTTTTTACATTCTTTCATGTTTTTAATAAACAGCAAAGAGTACCAATAGAAGGCGCTGCACCCTTATAAACCGATTTATTCAGCTCTCCGTCATAAGCAGTTCCGTTAGTTTTAACACCGTTTAGAGTATCAGTACCGTTATACAATTCATAAAGACGACGTTGTCTTTCACGTTCCTGAAATTTTGTTTATTGTTCTCTATGTTTTGATACTTATGTCGTAGGCTAATGCAGTTATTTCACTTTGGTGGTAACAGGCTGATTAAGCGAGTTAAGACCTTAACTAATACTGAAAAAACCGAATGCAACGGTTCGCCATTATAAAATTGCTGCTTGACAAAACTAATGCGGAGAATGATGCAAACTTACTACCTTTGCAGTTTAAGTGTGCAGTCACAAAATAATTGATAACAAACTTGTGCTTCTGCTTCTGATTGACTCAGTGCAATAGCCAAATTAATTTCATCCTCCTCAGCCTGCTTTAATTCACGAGCCCGCTGCTCAGCTGTTTTTCGCGCATCAACGGACAAAGACTTATCAGCTTTGGATGACGCCGGTGCTGAGCTTTGTGAGCAACTAACACCAGTCTTTTTTGCTGCCGTCTTCTCATAGCATCCATCACAAACTCTTACCTGGAAAAATCCTTTCCTTTTTCCTAAACTCACAAATCTTTTCCTGTTCGGCTGGATAAACAAAAGGTGGGAATCTCGAATGAAGTCAAGAGTTGGCCTATAAATAAAATCTCAAATTTAAGATTCAAGATAGGTGGAACCGGACGGTGAGTCAAGTATTTTCCTTTCAAGTAGCGAAGCATTAGTATTTACCTGTTTTTCAATACCGTACTGCGGCAAAAAGCTTTGTTTGCTGCTGCACTTATCGCAAAATATTTGTCCACAAGCACGGCAGTGATGCTTACGTGTAATGATCCCAAAAGCTGTTCGACATCTGCAACAAAAACGAATAATACGAAACAATGGACATATTATGACTTATAACACCGCTCTTGAAGTGATATTACCAAAATTTGGGTGATTCCACGAAAAGCATAAAACCAAATAAAATTCCCTACCTGAAACATTCCTCTCCGTCTGCCCACTCCGGTGCGCTTTCCGCAATGAACATTGCATCTGCCTCCGCAACATGCGGAAAATCAAAACCGGCTAACTTCATTAAATTGTGGGTATCGACTACAATTTTATACTCGGGTTTATTTTTGAAAGCCAAAGCCCAACACTGCAGCAATTCCAGTATCTTGTTTTTAACCTGAAAGTACATTCATCCATTTCCTTATAAAATTTGAATTCATCCCTTTCTAAAATTTGGTTTCCACATTAACCAATTACTGTGCAATAATGAAATAGAGCAGGATAAAACACCAGAAAACGAAATGATGTGTTTTACCAAGACTACCTCACCGTTACCTGCAACGCGTATTCCAATGATTCCAATGTATGCCATCACACCATCCCTTAAGTTCACCGGATACTCTAGTTATCTCATTTGACTTTTAATTTTTCACTGTATTTTAACTTGTTCATAGTTAAGTGAGGTATGGTAACATATGCTATACTGCTGATGATTCCTACGATAAAACTTATTACAAGCAGAAGAGACTCTTAAAAAATATTACGGGAAAATTAATAACAAATTGTTAACCTTATCTGGTGTTGTATCTAGCGAGAGATTCTTCAAATCTTCCATGAAATCCCTTGTTGCAATTTCAGCATGAAACTGAAATGACCCATACGAAAAAAAATTAACATGAATCGAGAAAATTAAATTACGGAAGACAAAACGATATGAAGAGAGTACCTTGACACCACAATTCTTCATGCACGCTTCCAGGACGAGTAGTGCATGATGAGCCACATGTGGATTTTCGTTATGGTACCTCTTCTTAATTGCAGCTGCGGCAGCTTTTACGCTATAAATTTGCAATCTGTACTTTGTAAGAAACGAATTAAAACGAGTTTCGTCCCAGTTCACAGAAAAATCATGTGTTGATAAAATATCACTTTAATAATCATAAGCACTTACGGCACTTCTCCTCCACGTATCAAGTCAACACATTCGATAATGGCATCCCAGTTTGGATCAATAAGTGTGGAATCGGTGGCTTTATCTAAAAACAAGCAAGGAAAACAATTCCAACACAAGATTAAAAGTCGTTGACTAATTTAAAATTTCCTGAAAGTTTGCTACATGATTCAAATAGAGCGATATTTTTATCCCAAAATAAATGTGATTAAACACTTATTCAAGAGATAATTATCTAAAACTATGGTGAAAAAAAGAAAAGGTAATACCCAGTTGACGTTCAAAACGTTTTGCCATCGGTATGGATTAAACAGCGAAATTTCGTATTATACAAGTAAGTCTGAAATATTCAGATAATTCGTCCAGATCAACTGGCAAGAGCACCGTAAAATGTTGAAACTGTGAATTCGTAATAAAGAAATTCACTACAGTTTCTTCTCGAAATTATAATAATATTCTCGGTCATCAAGCCTTGCTCTTCTGGATTGTAAGCCTTGCTCTTACAATGAACGAAAAATCTATGATTATCCCGAAATGAGGAAGTGAAGTTGCAACAAAAAATGGGAAACCAACAGTTCATTTTTCCTCCTGTTTTTTCCACAAACCTGTCACTTTATCTATTCAGAAACCACAACACACAACAACCAACCGGTCTCGACGTCAACCTAACGAAGTGAATGGATCATCGAAAAACCGGTTTTTGCTTCTACCTCTTCGAGAAATTTGAATTCTATGAAAGTCTCCTCGATATGCACAATGTTTCTTGCTTGTATTCTTTTTATCACTTGTTATATACAAATGCGCTTTTCCAGCAGTTGTGCTAGAATAACTTTCGGATTTTTAATGGTCCTTCAATTCTTCTATAAAATAGTATGCAGACATTCACATTGTATAATGGGATTCCCAATGGAAAAAAAACAAAGCCAGTTTCCGGGAACAAATAATTCGAGAACTAAAATTTTCCGGTCGTTATCTTTTCTATCATGTGATTTTGCATCCAAACGTATTTAACAATGCCGTATGGTTCCTTTTGATTGGTCAGTGAGTGCTACGTTCTCGAACCATTCTCCTTTCACATGGCGGTCATAGTTTGGATGACGAAATATGGCAATATTTTTTCCTATGACCTACTTGCTATTATTCAATTTTGGTATAGTGTCGGAAAGCTAACAAGCGGAGTTTATTCACAAAACCAGAGTATTATCCGAGTACTTTGTCTTCATAAAATGCTGTCCATTTACAATTCTCAGACCACAATAGTTTATCATCATTGATTTCGGAAACCGTCATCACTTTCAAACCATGTAAACCTGCGCACATCACTTCTTTTTCTGAGCCATGTTCAAAAATTATGATCATAAATGAAAAAACAAAACAGAATCATTGCTTAACAACTGACATGTTTGATGCGATGCGTCTCGTTCACTGTGTATCACGTATTTGTGTGTGCATAGGTACGTGTGTGTGTATGTGTTTGTCTGTGTATGTATGTGTGTGTCTGTGTATGTGTGTATTTTCATGTATATATATGTGTGTGTGTATGTATGTGTAAGTGCATGTGTGTGTATACCGGCACTGTTTCTTTCAAGAGCAATTGGTTCTGATTCATTATCACAAATGTGTTCATGCTGGTGTTTCCCTCTTCGGCGGCCCGCCTAATCGATGTGTATATTATTAGCTTTTTTAAAATTTTAAGAGCTTACTAAGATAATTCGTCTGGTCAGTTACACGTAAATTCCGTCCACATGTCCGTCCCTATGTCTGCACCTGCAGTTCGTTCTTCCGTTCACCCTCCGTTTGTCCATTTATTTATTTGTCTTCATGTTTGATGTTTGCAATCTTCTTCCCCTCTCCGTTCATCTATTTCTCCTCTGCTCTGTGTACCTTACGGCTATTTTATTTCCAGATTATGCCGCCTCATTTTCATGGAAATAAACAAGAGAGGGCGGGGGAAAGTAAAACAAGCAAACTGAAAACAATCTTACACGCTGGCTAGGTAAAATACCAACTGACCAAAAAGAACCAGAAGGAAAAAGATGGACGAAGCGCAACGGTTTACCAGATGTATTTGATATTTTGATTAGTCTATGTGATAATTTTTTTTAAATTCCCTGCTCTCTGTCCCTCTTCTCTTCCATCTAAATTAAGATTTTTCTTAGCATGGACCTTTGTCCAGAGGTCGACATAAGTTATGTGTCTTGCACAAACTTCGCCATAACTATTTTCAGATCCAGCTGAGATTGGTGACATGTTGAAATTGTAATAGTCAGACGAAAACTTTTTGTAGTTTTACGTCTGGGCGGAATCAATGGCTGGAGATTGAGCACTCCATAATACTCCAAACTAGGATTGCTCATTCCAGGATGGTATTTTGGGTACAGGCAGATAGTCTGAAATGCCGCAAGAACCATCTGATATTACTGGCCCAAATTTAAGAATGTATTTTATCAGTATGATCTTATGAACCTTATATAAAATTCCATAGTCTTTTGGTGATTTCGTGGATTTCATTCAATTTCAGTTTTGAATTAGACTATGGATCGCATAGGTACTTAACATATCTGTATCATCTTACATAAATACTGTGATACCGGCGAGCAACACTTGCGTAAATCGCAGTGATCTGAAGCACGTCGGTCCTGACGATGTTGCCAATCAAATTCACACAGCGTCGAAAATCGCTCCGTCCCCTCATCCCAACATTGTTCTTATAATAGTGGACCGATCGGTACTCTACGGTTGATCCAAAAATTGTAATAAGTGCTGACTCTATAATGGAGTTAAATCAGGTAGATTAATAAAAGGACAATGCCAGTTTATTATCCGCATATAAAACCAGATAGCTTCATGTTAGATGTTAAAATTCCGTTATTGGTAAGTATTACTTAGTTAACGGAGTTAATATTACAATCAGTTTTTGCCGGATTCGTTGTTCTCGAAGTACTGAAATACCAAAGAACTGCAGGCTGCACGTACAATTTGTTACCTTAGAGGAATCGGAAAAAAAAGAAATGTAGCACTTCGCCTTATCCAATCAACGTATTAAAATAATGCGTCGACTAGTTTCAAACTTCCGTAATTATAGACAAGTATCCAGAGAATTTGTGTCAAATAGCTGTTTGCTCTGCTGTCATAAAGGAATGTCCATGTTTATGTTTCTATATCTGCAGATCTACACGTTGTTTAGTCTGTCTGGATCACATAATCAGCGGATTTGACATGCATTTTCAGATATTTGTTGATCTGCTTGTTTTCTGAAGCGCCTTTTTAATAAACATGTTTATTTACAGGAGATTGTGCAATGGTAGAAGAGCTTATATATTGCGCTTAAAAGAATTTGTGTCCTTGGCCAGTTCAGTCTTCTCTTCAGGTTCATCGCTTTTTTGTAGACTTGACCTTTCTTAGATACACTTTACCCATTTGTCGTACGACTGCGCGTCATATATGGCCATAAAGCGATCATTTGAAATGAGCTGATAAAACCGTTAAACCATTCGGTCGAAAGATCAGGCTATTGGTGATTCGGATCTCGCCACTGGCCTGTCAACTTACAGCCATGTTTCGTTGGTTTGATGAAGCTTCTGAACATTTCTGCTGTAGGTCTTATTATCACTCCTTAATTGTTGCCATTCGTGCGATGCTATGGGATAATCAAGTTTAGATTTTGAAAAAAAACTGTGGTATAAAAATATAAAGGATTTTCGATGATAGTGAGTGAATTACGTCGTCAAGAAGAAGAGGAGCTGTTAAATTTCTCGTTATTATGGCTTATTTTCAGTGTTTCATTTTCTGACGCGTTACATTTTTCAGACATCACAATATACTCGATATTATTTGTTATTTATTGTATGTTACGAATTTCGTTACTGAAAATCGAAAGTGGTATGAGTTATTATCAATATTAAGAATGCGAATAAATTTCAGATAATAAAATAGAAGTTTAACATATTTAAAGCGAAATACTGAAGTGTTGAGCTATCAGGTGGTGTAGTTATGACCCTTATAATATCCATGTCAGGATATGCAAATTTTATTGCTACTGTTGCTCTGTATAGAAATTGTAGTTCTGGTTATTTCAGTTAGTACTGCCATTGCCGCACTAAATTTTTATATGCTGTTTACATCTGTTAAAACTGCCATTTGTCAAAGTGGATTTTAAAAGTGTTGTATAATAATATCTGAAGTCATAGAAGAGATTAAAAAGAGATTATTTTTTTTTATTTAAAACTTTTTTCAGATTATGTACACCGGTAGTACAGCAACTGGCGCATATCAGCTAAGCGTACAGCATATGAGCTTGAATAACACGCCCACAGGTCGTCCCAAAAAAAGGTGCCTTTTTTGTGCGAGTTTTGATGAATATTAAGACTCAATTTAATTGATTTTTTTAAAGAAACCCTTTTTTCACATCACACATTCAAATGTTATTAACTGCTGCTTTGTCATTATTTCATTCACGGCTTTTTATTTGCATTACTTGCATTACATCGGGTAATTCTTAGTTCCTGATAGTCCTCAAAATTGCTATATTTGTATATTACTTATGTTCTTTTGATTATTGCAGACCGCCAAACACAGGTGCCCTTCTTTTTAACTCAGTTGAAAATAGTACGCTATTTTCATTGCTTGGACATGACTGCATCTCATTAGCAGCAGGTGTTGTGCAGTTGTTGAAATCCGATCCACGAAATCCAGGAGTATGGATCAAAGCTCACAAAGGAGTTGTTTCGCTCGTCAAGGATTATGATAAAAGAGCATACTTCTTGCGCTTATATGATATTTATAGAAAACAGTATCTTTGGCAACAAATGTTGTGAGTTGTTTACAGTTCTTTAGTTCAAAAAATTTTGGGTGTGGAATATAGGGCGCATTTTTCTTGGTGTTGAAAGTATTGTACTAGTTAAAGAAAATTATTTGAATTCATTTCTTAGCTCTATCGACATTCCAACCAAAGATTTGAAGTATGTCTTTTAAGCATCAATTTTTCTAGAAATTCGACAATTTTTTGCAACTGCTAGTTCAGGTACAAGAATTTCCATGCTTCTCAGCCATTAGGGTGTCCGCATCTGCTGACGTTCGAAGGAGATGAATGCGTGTTTGGTTTGAATTTTTCGAGTAAGGAAGAAGCATACAGCTTTAAGTCCCATCTTGATAAACGCTACGAACAGGAGAAAAAGTCTCGTAAGTTTCTTAGGCATAAATTATTTCTCCACTTCCTAATTTTTCTTTAAAACATTTTAAACCATTAAAGTCAGTCAGGGAACGGCAGTTTCATTTTACGAACTTGGAAGAATGTAAGCTTTCTTACGAAATTCGAGGAAGCAGAAAGCTTGAAAAGGAGGAAATATTTAGGCGGAGTAAGAGGTGATGAAGAGGTAACAAATTCAAAAAGTTTCATTTTATGTGCTTTTATGTTGAGCGGTTACATATATTGTTACTTGACATTGCTCACTTTTTCTGCAGAAGAAAAAGAGAGGCTAGCTACTAGTGGCTCGCAGAACATTTCACCCTTATCTGGATCACTACTACAACCTTTCGGTAGTCGAACTCATGCAATTTCTGCACCGCATAGGACTGGCATTACCAGTATGGGTACTGTACCGAATATTGGTGGTGGTGCATGGACAAATTTCGTAACGATCAACAGAACCAAAAAAAAGAGTTCAAAAAAGGAAAAGAAGCAGAAGATTCGAAAAGAAGACATCAGTAATCCAACTAATTTTCAGTCAGTTTTTTTTTGTTTCGCATAATTTTATTTATTATTTAGTTCCCATCTCTCCTATTTATTTAAAGTTTAGTTTATTATCTTTTTATCATCTTATTTCTAAAAAAATTTTGTTCACGTAAATTAGGCCTCACTCAAGGGTGTATAATTATGACATACATTCACCCATCACTGGCAGGTTTTTTGTATTAAAGATTGGGCCAGAAATATTCCTGACACGTTTATAATTGTTCTTGGCGATTAACGTACACTAGAATTACCAGTGATGTGTCTATAGTATCAAAATATTAGTTTCATAGTTTTAAGTTTTACTGAACCATACTCTGTAGACACAAAGCACATCTTGGGTGGAATCAAGACGGTGGATTCTCGCAAGAAACCTACAACTGTGATCCAATGGATGATAGCGTCAAGGCTGTGTTGCGCGCTGCGGGGGAAAATCCGGAACGAATGTCTAAAGATGATTTAGAATTTTCGAAAAAATTCATTACCGGCTATCAAGAGGTGCCTCAAGTACAGCAACCGCCTGCTCCAGTGCATCATAATTATCCGAGGTGATTTAAACTTCTCGTTCACTTCGAATTTTCTGTAACTGATTGTAGGATAGTTCTTCATTAAAATGTAATGCGTCTTTGTTTAGGAGAAAAATTTTTTTTTTTCACACTAACTGTCCAATTTTTCAGGCCTTTTATGACCTCTTCAATTACAAATTCTGCCACAATATCACCAGTTCCGCCGCCACCACCTCCATTAGTGCGTCGTGAAGGGTTTCATATCACTCCAGTTTCAAGACCGCCGCTGAAACCCCCTGCTTCCAGCAAGCCTCCAGCAAGGCCTTTACCACAGGTTAAATGAATTTTCCTCAAAAGTTTCGAAAATTGTTCCAAAATTTTGAATTTTGAACATAAAGGAATTGCACTGTATAGTTCTTTCTGGTCAGTGCACCTCAGTTTGTTTTAGCCACCTGGTGCAGTGAACGGCACACCAACTACCTACCGCCCAAATGATGTACCCCCACCGCCTCCTCCGCCACCTCCCCCATCAAGTTCTACGTGCTCCATACCAATAGCACCACCTCCTTCGTCAATTTCTCCAACTTCTTTGCTTGCACCACCTCCACCTCCTCCTCCACCACCGCCTCCTGCAACGTATACCAATAATCCAGCACCTCCCCCTCCACCACCGCCTCCGCCTTCTTACACTTTCGCTTCTAGCAACGGTGCTGGAGGAGGAAAAACAAATTTGCTTAGTGTAAGCGATTTTTTCTTTCTTTTGTAGCTTTTTCTTGTTTAATGGGACATTTCGTAATTTTATATTCCACTTTGATAGAACCTGCTTTACTGTATTTTAAAATCGGAATATATTGGGGTTTCGAATGAGATGAAAATTCGGGTGTGCAAGACTTGCTATGTGCATATTATTTTTTATGTCGTTTCTTCAGGAGATACAAGCAGGAGTTACTTTGAAACAGGTGACAACAAATAGCAATCATGGCAGTGGTATTGCCGGCGCACACGATGAAATGATGGCACAAATACGGCAAGGGGCCATCCTAAAGCCTGTTAGTATCAATTTTCCACATTGCAAATCTTTCTTTTCATTCAAACAGTGACGTAAACGTAAAAATTGATAAATTCAGTTGATTCATTTGTTTTTCACTATCATATTTAGTCATATTTTTGAAATATATTTCTCCTGTTCTCATTGCTAGAATAGAAATGTGAAAGCTTTTGGAGTAGTAAATTTGTTGCAGGTAGATAAAGAGGAGATTGAAAATCGGAAATCGATACCGAATGCTACGGATGTAGCGGGGATTGCAGGCGCATTAGCTCGAGCTTTAGAAGAAAGACGGAGAAATATACGCAATTCAGATGGTTTTTTATTTTATTCTTTTGTAATTATCCCTTATAACAATTTATAAGCAATTTTGACTTTTAATGAACTAATGTTTTCATTGATTCATTGTGCTGATCAATCTTTTTGTTGTTAAGCGTTTAAAATAAAGCAAAAAATGGATAATTTATTTTTTTGGAACAAAAATTTTTACATCTTTTTGCTCGAAATACGTAGATATCAATTGAAAACCTCAATTTTGCAGAGTCAGAATCAGAAGAAGAAGCGAATAACAACGACAGTGAATGGGAATCAGATTGAAATCGCATAGTTACACAAATGTGACAGGTATGGGTGGACTGCATTGTCGGATTATTTTTCTGTTACGTTTCTTTTATGCAGTTGCTATTGTTGTGCTGAAATTTAATGTAGAGAAGTTTGTATTATTTTATACCTACGGGTTCAGATTTTTAAGGAAGCTGATATGAGGCGTATAGTTACGCTACCATTGGAAGATATGCTGCCCTGAGCTGCTTAATATCTCTCTTGGCATTGTAAATTTATCGTGTTTCGTCGCGTTTCTTATCGTATTTTTCCAACTCATTTGAAAATTTCTTCCATTTCGGGTTCTTATAAAATGATTTTGGCTATCAAAATTCAAAAGCGCCGACTTTAGTAAACATTTCGAAGAATAAAATATATCAAAATTGTTTGAAAAATGGTTGGATATTGAATATCTGATAGTTTACAAATGTATCTGATATTGAATGACTGCTAGGTACATTATATTATCCATTTCTGTAAACGCCTTTTTTATCATTTGCATTCTGAATTTTTGTTTTTATTTCTAGAGAAATCTATTCATTATTTGATATCTGTGCTCAATTTGTCTTGTACTGTATTCTTGTGTGGGTATGGGTATAAATATA